CTATACAACACGGATTTTGGTATCAATGTAGAAATCTGTATACTCCCAAAATAAATGCAGGAAATATCCTCATTTCATAGATGGAGATTAAAAGAAAATTTTTGCTGAAAGGCAAAAAGGTAGCAAGAATTTAGAAGAGAGGTATTTTCTGTTTTTTATAAAACACTAGTGAATTCATTAAGATTTAGGCTAAAGGTAAATTTCAGGCATCTTCAGAACCACCTTCAGAGTCACTTCTGAACACAAGTCTTTGGACCCATCAGTGTACTGTGAAATACCAATACTTACAAATAGCTCCACAAAAGAAAGAAAATGGATTCGCCCTCTAAAAAGGCTGTGTTTTAGAGGAAAAGCAGGGTAAATCCCAGCTACAAATACACTACTAAGCTCAAAAGCACTCTTAAGTTTCCCTTCAAAAGGCCATGTACAACTTATTATGGCCCAACTCCCTAACAAGACCCAGGATTATGCAAACTATGTATCCTGCCAAACTCATCCTCGCTTCTATGGAAAAGTAGTCCCAAGACACAGGCCACATGAGACCCACAGCACATTCCAAAGATGCACACCTCGCTAATCAGAGGAACAGGCTTGAGAAACATCATGCAGGGACTCAGTAAGTGAATATGGATGTAGTCTACCTTGATGAAACATAAAAATGAAAATGTGATTCAGAAAAGTCTTTCAAGAGCAGCCTTCTTTCAAATGAATACTTATTACCCCAGAACCCCAAGGAATGTATTTGGTATACAGTATACAAACAATAAATATAAAAAATTCAGAACTAGCATTTAAAAGATCATCTTCTAAATAAAAGTGACCTACTTTTTAGCTTGCAAAGGACTCCAGAGGAATTTTTGGTCCCCTCTGAAATTTGAGTGAGTATTTAGGAACCAAATGACACCTTTAAGTTCAAGTTTTATCCAGACTAGATGAATTCGATTTTCATCTCTCTCTCTCGATGCCTACCTGTACAACAACTGTAGGTTATTTTTGAAAACTATATAAATTTTTGTAGGTACAGTTCATGCTCTTCAACTGAATCCTGAGAGCTATATAAAAATACCTTATTTTCATACTTTAGAAACAAACTAAAAATTACCAAAACTTCAACTCTGAGTATTACAGACCTTTCTACAATACAGACCTTACAAGGACTCTTTGTGCAGCATGATCTGCTACATTTACATTTTGAATCAAAGGCAGAGGTGTATGCAATGCACAGTTAGCCATGTATGAAACCATTTGAAATATTCAATGTTTCTGTGAACATTCTTAAAAATGCGGCAGTGAAAATCAGTAATTAATACAACAGACTCCATTGAATGCAAACAAGGAAACACAGCCTAAAAAAAAAAAATTAAATCTATAAAAGCTTAATAAGAATAAATGTTTAGAGGCACTTTCGATTATTGGGATTAACCTACAAACTGCAGGAACAGCATAGAGTACAGCTAGATTTTGGAACAGGAAGAGCAACCACCCAAAACTGCTATGATATTCAGAAGCAATTCTACAGTTCAGGAAGTGCTAGGGAAGACATTTACCATCAGAAGCCCTATGTTCCAAAGCGACTAAGCTTTGTCCTCGGGTCAGCTACCCTCTTCCTATTTATACTCCGTAACAACAATGTTCCAGTCACTTCTGCCATCCTGGAAACCTGATCAGGCAAACATTTCCAGCATTTTCTGACCATCTTTACTGATGTGAATGGCAAACAGTTACTGGATTCACTACCTCACTCTGTTTTTAAGGAAAACAATCTAGGAATCTCATGAAGCTTAACAGGAAAATGGAAAGTCCTGCACCTGGGTAGCAATAATCCCATACATGTGTACAGCCTGGGGCCAGCCAGTTGGAAAGCTGTGGGTCCTAATGGATATTGAATTGACCATGAGCCAGCAATGCACCCTTCTGCTCAGTACCCACCATATCATTAGCTTTCCTTGCTGTAAAGGTGCAAAAGAAAAAATAACAAAGCCAAATTAAATATGCAAAAAAAAAAAGAACATACCAGGATCCTTACTTACTTGGAAACTAGTAAGAAATGACAGAGTGAAGGACTTTAGTGGAGGTTTGGTGGAATCTAGCATCTGTTAAGTATAGCCCAAGGACATTATACTTTCCTGTTAAGAATCCCCTTTAGCAAGAAACTAAACTGAGACTTTCAGAGTCTACTCTAGACATAGAATTTGCCTATTTAATGATTCCTCATGAGCTCAACAACATTTTGAGAGTACATGTAATAAGTGGCATACTTACAGATGAACAATACTAAGATGCAGTGGTTTGTTTTTTTATTTAGTTAGAACTGTAAGGAAGAATCTTTCAAAGCTCCTTCTGTAGTTAGATGCCTTAAGTTACAGTCTCTCTGCTTCTGCTGCACTTTTAATATTCCCTCTACTCATAAGTGTACTGCATCATATTTAATGCTTAAACATGTACAATATAACCCTACCTAACAGATAGGGGGTTTGGGCCTTCATCTCAGTTCCAAATGTTTGAGGTTACCCCAACTCTGTGCAGGCTTCTGCAAGAACAGCAACCCTGTGTTCTGCTCACTTACACTACTGCCTTATTGAATAGTGAATCAAATCCAGTGATCTGGATGCTGATTTTGGGATTATCATTTACCCTGGCACACCATCCTCTTATGAACACATCTCTTTCAGAAAAATGCATTCTTCAAAAACAACAGAAGCTTTCCACTACAAAAGTGAGACCACAGACTACCAGTCAGATTTTTCAGCAGCTGGTCTATGTGTATGGACATCCACTTCTGAAAAACAAATGAACTGAAGTGACTCTCCTCTGCCTCTAGGTAAAAAAAAAACCACTGACCTCTTGAACTGTGTGAATGTTCTACAACTGAACTCTAGAAAGCACATGGCTGCAGAGTTGGAGGCTTTAGTAGGGGTAATGTTGATATGTGAAGGATACAACAATCCTCTTTTTTGCCTTTTTAACATGTGTAGCTAACAACCTCTTTCCTTATCTAGCCTCTTATATAATTTGAGTAGCTATAAGAGATACTGATGCTTTGAGTATTTTACCAACTTCCACTGTTACACCTCTCCATTCCTAGGCACCTCTGTCCCTCCTGATAACATCTTCACAAAGTACATACCTCTAAGGTTTGCATTAAAAATTCCACTGGTTCTACAGTGATTCAAGTAAAGTGCAATAACAAAGCAGAAGATTCCGCAGGATGGAACTGTTCTTGAGAAATTAGAGTCAAGAGGGTGGGGTCATGACAAATACAACTGTCTCCCTCAAAAACTGTAGGAGTTTTTCCAGTCCTTTGGGACTGGCAATGTAGATCATACTTCCTTTTCCTGGAGAAACAAGATTACCTGTAAAGACACATAAGAATGTCTTCAGCTGGTAGACTCCAGCAATTTTGCTGGGCCTCAGCCACTGCAATGCTTGCTTCAGAAGCTCCACAAGAATCAGTGGTTTTTGCTCTTCTGCACTTATCTTCATTTAGCCAGTAAGTGAATGGCCTAAATCCAGGTAATGCTAATCAGTCAAAAACTCATTTTACTCTTTAAGATTAGCAATGTATGTCTCACTGGCTGTATGCTATCTACCCAAAACAAAGGACCCAGCCTTGCTCATCTTTGCATATTACTGCAATGAATCCCTAAGCAGGTACAAATGGGTACTACAGCAAAACTGAATCAGAAGCTAAGGCAAACACACCCCTGTGTGTCTCCACACAAGTGATAGGAATCACAGAATCATTTAGGTTGGAAAAGACCTTGTCCAACCATAAATCTAACACAGCCAAATCCACCACTAAACCATCCGCAAGTGCCACACCTACAAATCTTTTAAATACCTCCAGGGATGGTGACTCAACCACTTCCCTGGGCAGCCTGTTCCAGTGCTTGATAACACTTTCAGGGAAGAAATTTTTCTTAATATCCAATCGACACCCCCCCCCCCCCCCCCAGTACTTGAGGCCGTTTCCTCTTGTCCTGTTGCTTGTTACTTGGGAGAAGAGACCGACCCCACCTCACTATACCCTCTTTTAGTAGTTGCGAGGGGGAGAGGTGCTCCCTGAATCTTCTCCAGGCTGAACAACCCCAGTTCTCTCAGCTGCTCCTCACAAGACTTGTGCTCCAGGCTCTTTGGACATGCTCAAGCACCACAACGTCTTTCTTATAGCGAGGGACACAAAACTAAACACAGCGTTCAAGGTGTGGTTTTAACAGCACCGAGTAGAAGTGGATGACCCTATACACTGACTTGTGTTCTGTAAGCACACAAAGGAGTGGAGCACCTACTCCCGAATTTCTTAAGCGCTGCTTTCTACACTGCACTTTAGAAGCAAATCACAGCCTGTATGGATGCTAAATAACAGCAATATCAACGCACATTCAGTTTTACAATTCAACACTTGCATGACTAGCAGCAGAGCCATTGCAGAAAGCTTATCCCATCTGGATGCAAAATGAGGTAACTCAAACAGGCATATTTGCAGGTGGTGCTTCCTTGGTAAAAGATGAGGAAAAAAGCCTGTATGTTATCTGCAGAATGTACAATATCACGATCAAAACAACCAAGAAGAACGAAAAACTTCCAAAACGAACAAACACCCCACCCCCCAAACCCAACCCAACCCACCAAAAAACCTCACAGGGAAGCTCGGAAACGCCGTTCTTACCTTAGGAGACAACAAAGAAACCGCGGTCACTCCCTGGAACAGAGATGTCGGGACAGCACAGCCCGCGCCGCAGCCGCCTCATACCTGCAGGCGCTCTGCCCGGGCCGCGACCCAAGGCGCCCGCGGGACTCCCCTTCGGGCAGGCCCGACCGCACGCGGCTGCCGTGCCTCAGCGCGGGCGAACCTGTAACAGTGGAAGTGAGTCACATGATCAGGCCGAGACACACCCGCTCAGCCCGAGGCTGCTCTGCAGCAGGCGGGACGGGGCGGGGCGGGACGGGGCGGGGCGCGGCGCGGCGGGGCTGGGCTGGGCTGGGCTGGGCTGGGCTGGGCTGGGCTGAGCGGGGCCACGGGGAAGGCGGGCAGAGCTCCGGCACGAGCACCGGCATCTTCATGCTGAGGCGTGGGACGTGACTCAGGTATTGAGGGGGAGCCGTTGTGAGTGATGTTGTGGGGTGCTTGGCTGACGCACGGGGGTGAGCGCCATGGGGAGCGTGGGGAGGTCCGGAGCTGGGTGACCCGACTCCGGAGCTCCGGGCAGGGTGAGTACGCATCTCTGCGTGGGGCAGCCCAGGCCGGCGGATGCGCTCGAGCGCGGCTGAAGCTTTGGGAGAGCGCCACGCGGCTTCGTCTCTCGGCCAGAGGCTGCGCAGGGCGCCGGAGAGTCGGTGGAGACGGCGCGGATTGTCGTTACCCCGTTCGCGCCACCTCACGGGGGCCGGGGGACGCCCTCCTTCTGGGTCCTGCCCGCGCAGAGGGGTCCGGGGTGTTTTTCTTTTTCGGGGAACCCGCGCTGCGATGCGGGGCGCCTGGCGTCCTCGCCGCCATCGGCCGGGCAGCGCTGCCAGGCTCTGAGCGACCGAGCCCCGCTCCGGCTGCTGCGGGAGAGCGCTGCCCCCCGCTTCCTCAGGCGGCCGGGTCACGCCCAGGCGCGCGGTGCTGCGGCCTCAGCGCACGTACAGTGCTACACCGATGGCTCGTGAGGCACCCGCGAGCTCGGGCTTTGTTCCCGCCATCGGTAGCTTCAGATCGGTGTCGGGTGATGAGGGTCTCTGCGCTCAGCGCCGTCCCCACGATCCCTTCGCTGCTGCTCCGCTTTCCTTTCAGCCACAGGGGAGTAAATTCTGGACTTCCCTTTGTCACAGCAGGGACAATTCAGACCCGCTAAAGGGAGTGGCCCGCAGTCTGAGGGATCGCCCCCTCATAAGGGCATCGCGGAGTACAGGGCGTGAACTCCGTTACTCGGTTCTGCGAGCGCCCTGAGAACGGTGAGGCGCTCGTACGCGGAATCGCGCGGCCGCCTGCAGGCTCCCTGAGCGTCGGCGGCGGCGACCCGAGCGCTACGTGCCCGACCCGGAGCGCCGCGCGGGCCGCCGTGGCCGCTCGCGGCGCCGCGACCGCCACCATTGTTCTCCCAACCCCGCTCCTCTCCCGCGCGGCGGCCGCCGCAGCCCCACTCCATCCGCCGGGAGAGAGCCCTTGTGTGCTACTGCTCGTTCTCACATCCTTATTCTAAGCAGTTCTGTGGAGAAAGAAAAAGCTCACAGACGTGAGGTTGAGCTGTGGCAATACAACTTCCTCACCGGCTTAGAGCGTTAGCATCGGTTGTGGAAATGCACACACGCTTCATCAGCGAGTTTGCGTGCTTTCTGGGTAAAGCAGTTGAAAATCCGTTTAAAGATGTCACAAAGTGAAGTCATATACAGTTTTGCAATTTTTGTTTCAGTGGGAGCGGTAATTTGTTAAGACGTGGCAGTTGGCAGTCTAAAAATGTGAGACAGACTCCATTAGCACAGTATACCTGTTGTGACTCAGTCGGAAGACTAACTCAAGGTAAATTATAAAAATATTAGGGTGACCTTCTAAATTGTCACTGAAGTGGGAATTCACATATATTACTGTATGGCACCATGTTATGCAGCTGCACTATCTAAAGTCATTGTGTAAAATGACACCTCTTTGCCAGATAATCTTTTCATGCTATATTCAGCTACATATACAAACCTAGCTTGAAATACAGTGCATGTGCACACCAGCACTTTGTGTTAGGGCAATTCCATGGTATTCTGCAAAAATAAGCACATACGTCCAGCTGGTGACAGGACTGTACCCTTAATTACTATATGGCTGTCACTTTTTGGCTTTATACTAGATAAAATAAGGACACTTCTGCTATAAAAAATTGACAAGATTTTCTATTTTTCTAAAGCTCTGACACATTGCAAGGCCACCATAGCTGCAAGGCTGAAGTTAATTTTCATGATATAAAAAAAATAAATTGTAAGTATTCAACTGAAGCTGGGATTCTACAGCTTCTGTTTTTGAAAGTATATGGAAAGCAGCCAGATAATTTAAGTGCAACTTGAAGGCATGTTTTTCACTTCTGCTGTACATACAGGAAAGACAGATACTGTCTGGTCTTCAGGTGCCACTGTGATGCTGACATTAATGCACTTACGGCAATGGATGTAGTGTAAAAAAACTCAAAGGCTTTAGAAAAATAAGTCCACTTCTTCAAAAACTGGGCCTTTGATATAGAGACAGTAACTAGGGAATTTGCCAATGCTGTTGTTATACAACTAGTATATTTGGTTTTTGCTGGGACCTGAGAAGATTGAACTGTTAGTGTTGTATTTGTAACTAAATAAAATACTTATGTAGGCATTTATCTCAAAAGATGTTTCTTTTTGTTAAGAAAGCCAAATTAATACTTCATTTTAAAACATGAGGCTAGTATGCAGATCTGTGGCTTATTCTTTTGCTTATGGCCCAGTGTAAGTTAGGGGTACTGCTCATTATGAAAAAAAAAATATATATAATCTGATTTTGCCAGATAATGTAAAGAACAGGGTTCTAACATTTTTATTACAAAAACAAATAAATTAACAAGCTCAACTTCCCCTGTAGAGCACTTTACCCAGATAACAGAATCTATAGTGGTTAGTATTATTTGCTACACATAAACTGCAATGTGAATTTACTGTGTCATTGCAGTCTGATAGTAGCTTGTGATGTACGCTACTTACTGCGCTGTAGCAGGGCACGCTAAAATGGTTTGAGGCTAAGTGGGGACTGGGGATTAATAGTAAAGTGTTGGCATGGAACATCACCTTCAGCTACAGACAGCACAGAATTATTATATAGTATATCCTAGGGGTTTTGAGGGAGAGATGGGGGAATGATGAAAGCTGGCAAACCCTTAAAAAAGGCAGTGGAACAGGAAAACAAAGGAGGCCAAAATGGGAAAGTCACTGCAGAGCTTTTACATATAAGATCTCAAAGATGGGTGCCAGGAGGATGGTGCCCAGCAACAGGATGAGGAGCAATGCTACTTTTCTTTAATAAGTTAAAACACAAGAAGTTCCACCTCAACACGAGGGAGAACTTGACGTTGTGTGTGTCAGCACTGGAGCACTGGAACAGGCAGCCCGGGGGGGTTGTGGAGTCTCCCTCTCTGGAGACATTCCAAACTCACCTGTAGGCAGGTGATCTCCAAAGTAGTTTTAAACCCTAATGATTCTGTGAGGACAGAAGGTCAGGGCAGGCATCAGTAAATACAGTAATGATTTTGTAGGGAACAGGAGCTTGCAGCAGCCCTTGGAAATGAACATATATTTAATTTGGCTGATATTTAATCAGCTAAGCCACAAGAAATGGCCCATTAAAATTTTTGCAGGGGATACTTCCTGCAAAATTTCAGTAGAGCTGGTTAGTGTTATGTTTATTCACTCAGAACCAAGTATGACACCTATACAAGTATACATCTTACATCTTTTATTTAGTCTGCTTAGATTTTAATACCCTTCGGCAAATATAGGCTTATGACTCTATTAACACAATATTGAACAGTCTACACTTTTCAGCGTACCCGCACTCCCAACATGCTGTGAAGAGAGAATCACTATTCTCTTCATTCCACAGATAAAAAACTGAAGAAGGATCTCTGTATTGCTCAGCTTAGGCCATCTTCCTCACTTGGTAATTGTACATTTCTCAATCTAGTGCGGTTCCAGACTGAATTCCAGTCTAAACTAGGTGTCCTGCGTGGAATTTCATGTTTTATTTTTGATAACAGTTGTTTATTTCTATTCCAGGAATCCAAAGTTGGGTAGATTGCTGACATATTTAAATTAATTCAGGGGAAGTTCTTAAGCTACACAGGTCAGCCTACATACTCACAAATGGCCTTCCTTACCCATGCTGCTGGCCATAAAGTACTGCTACATAGGCAATAGGGGTATTGGCTAAACACCGATAATAGATTCTTGCCATTTCTAGCTGGCCTTTTTCATAACACTAATGCTCTCCTTTTATATATGCTGTACCATCACATCAAACACAGCACCCGCAGCGCTACCTACAATCACCTAATATTTCCTCCTAACTGATCCTGTATTAAGTTTCCATGGCAACAGGAAGATACTCTCAGGAGCATGAAGCCCCACAGAGCTAACTACGTTTAATCCCTTTGTTTTACACATTACTGAAGAAAGAACGCACTTATAATAGGAGGGATCTGCAATAAATACTGACAATTCTATCATGTCTGTTGTGGAGATACTGAAACTGAGCTGCAGCCAGTTACATGTAATCCTTTGCCTCTAAACAGGGCTGAGCGAGCAAAAGCAGGAAACGAAACAGTTGCAACAGTTCTGTAGCAGCCTCCTGTCACAGTATCATACACTCCGGCAGTATCCCAGCGCTGAAGTGAAATTACAAGTGAAAATGTTGTCAGTGCAAGTCAACCGCGAGCCCACCTCTCCTAGCGCTAACCCTGGTTTGCAGGTTTCACATGGGAACCTCCCCACTATTTCCTTTAGCTCTAACGGAAGCGGATACAGTGGAGCCTGGTAAAGCACACTATGACAGGATGAAGGGAACGGGGTGAAGTGCATCTGAAGACGTTCAGAGAGGCAGGGTTCCTTCAGTTCTGGTTAATGGTGTTTTAATTTGGTGTGTTAACGTGAACCACGGATGGACTAAACCAGATGAACAAGACGGGGGGGGGGGTGTGCGGGCACGTGTAGACATGTGAAAGTGGGGTACGCGGGTCTGTGCAAACGTTTAGCTGAACGCGCTGACATGCCGTCAACATCCGTAAAGGGACCTTTCACCGCCCTTGGGGCGCGCGAGCCTGGTAGGTCCCACCGGCCGGCTGGGGCCGGCGGCGCCCCGCCCCGCCCGCTCGACCGCCCAGTCACGTCCTACACGTCTCAGTGCGGCGGCCGCCAGCGCGCGCGTCCGGCGGGGTGGCTCGCGCCGCCGCACGTCCCAGCGCGGGGTCACGCGGGGTCGCGAGGAGTCCCGGTGCTGGGCCCGGGCCGCGCTGCGTTCCCTTCCTGCCGCCCGGAGCGGTGTAAGGAGCAGGAGTGCGGCCGAGCAGGTGCCGAGGACGGCTCCTCTCAAAAGCCGCCTGCCTGTTTGGGCAGCCTGGACGCACTTCACTGTCAGGGCTCAGCACTGCGGGACCGCAGAGAACATCTCAGCTGTAGAGTCGGTAAAGCAGACCGCCCCTGCCTGTGTACCAGAAGAAGCACAGAGGTGGATGCCGTCAGCCATTTCTTCTAGGGCTGGATATTGCTATCCGGCACTGTGTGAGCAGCCTGCAGAAACTGCTGTTTTTTAACAGAATGCTCACGTACCATTACCTTGTGTTGCTACCAAGATGGTTCATACAAAAGACTAAAAATTACACAACTCTTCCTCCAGCATTTTAAACATTCACTCCGATGTTCTGTCTTAAAATTTGGAAGTAGTGGGATGATTGCTCCTGCCTCCCAGACTCCTTCAGTTTTACATCTTATTCCTGATCTTCTACACTTGTGCTGAGATGTTTGAATCCCCATTTTCCCTGTTATCATTACTATTACAGAGCTACCAGTATCATGAAGGATTACACTTTGTGCCTGTACTCTGTGCTGTCTGGATATTCCTTTAAAAAAAACCACAATTTTTTGAAGCATGCTTTATATCTTGTATCATACAGAAGTTACTGTGAATAACAGTTCTGAAGGGTGGACAGATCCCAGTGTTAGGATGATTGGCAGAGATGCACCTTAAGACTTTCATTTAGCAACCCAAAGCCTGGTGCAGAAATTACCTAACAAGCTTCGAGTTTTTACAAACTCTCACAGCAGTAAGCAAATCAGCCATCTGTAGTAGCAGGCACCTAGACGTCTAGTTGTATTGGGGTGTTCTGGTTTGCTCCTTGTTTAACCATTTTAGGTTCTAGTGCCAATTATTTTTCTGTTTATACCTGATTTCCAGAAAACAAGAGGTGAAGCCGGTAATAGGATGCTTACTGTCCTTCTCCTACAGCCCAGGGCTATAGAACAGCTACTGTCATGGCCAGGTTTCTTTATACATCATGCATATGAAGTTGTTTCTTCCAAGAAGTGGGAATGCTGGTGTAAATTCCTTAGTAAGTACACCCATATAGGCCTATTGACAACCACGCATTCGGTGCTCAGTTGTCTAGACAAGGCTGCATTAACTAGGTTGTTGTGCTGTATGTAGTCTGGTTCTGAAAAGGAGCTTTATGAACTACATAATTCCCAGTGCACAACAATCACTATGCAGACTTCTCAAAAGTTGAAGCATTCTTTAGTGACAAACATCTCTGATGTGCAACTGTACTTGCACTCCTCTTTTAGGCACTACTGTAAGAAACATTGACCCAATAAAAGTAATGAATTGCATTTTAAAGAAATAGTCACGTTTTGTACATGTAAGATTTAACGTACAACTTGTCTAAAGCTCCCTTTATAACATTTTAGACTTCTGTAATACGCAGACCCTATAAAAACCTAATTGCTCTGCTACAATACCTCCCTCCACTCCTCACATGCAGGTACACTTTATCTGCCTTTTCAGTGTCTTCCCCCATCTGTTTGAAAACTTTGAAGCATCACTGCCTACATAACATTCTCATGAGAAAAGACGGGGTTTCTTTTAGATGCAAAGGCACTTGTGGCTGCACATGAAAGATGTGAAAGATTCATCAAATAAAATGTAAAAAAAAAAAGTTACTGATAATGTAGTAACAACCACAATGGAAAGTACTTGCTTCAGGCAGTGATACTGAGCACTGCTGCAGTTACTAGCTCCCATCATCCACAAAAAACTGCCTGTGCAGATTTTAATTGCAGTTCAGCTTAAATGCTTACATGATGTGTGAAAACTAATAGCTTATCAGAAGTTCAAAGAGATCTATCTTTTCAAGATATCAGTGCATCAGGACTGTGTTTCTGTCTTCAGTAGGGAACAAAATACCTGGGTGATTTGTCCACTGTTGCACAGAATACTTGTTATGCACCAGGATTTTGCTTCCCGGTCTCCCAAGTGAATATTCCAAGAGCTTCATACAGAAGGATTTTATAGCAAAAAATCCTGCAGGCTTTAATGCAGGAGTTATTCCATGTTTGTGAAAGTAAAATACAACCCTGAACTGCTATAATGGCTTTTTTCCTATGAAGTACTGATTTGGTATATATATACCAGGTCTATATACTGTAATTGTTTTTTTTCAGGGAACACCCTTGAGCTTCGTCATGGGAGCTGTGGTAGCTGACGATGGTCCATCTGGTGTTAAAGCCCCTGATGGAGGCTGGGGCTGGGCTGTCCTTTTTGGCTGTTTTATCATCACAGGGTTCTCCTATGCCTTTCCTAAGGCAGTTAGTGTCTTCTTCAAAGAACTTATCCGGGAATTTGGCATTGGATATAGTGACACTGCATGGATTTCCTCTATTCTGTTGGCCATGCTTTATGGAACAGGTAGGTAGTTCTCTCTTTTTGAAACCGTACTGCATCATACAGTTATGTTTGTAAATCATACAGCCATTTACAGCATGAATGACTGCATATCATTATCTGTATGCAAGTAAGGCATTCCAAATAATTACTGTTTATCACATAAATTCAAAAGTTATTGAAGCACATTCAGCTTGCACAAAAAATTAGATCTTTGTAACTTAGTAGCAACTAGAGATGATTAAAAGGAAAAACTGCATGGCACTCTGAAGACAAAAGAAGACTAAATATTTGACTACAGAGGAAAGAGCACTCTTCCAGACTGGCCGACAGTAGGGACAAAGTATCCGAAGAACCACAGAATCATTAAGGTTCGAAAAGACCTTTAAGGTCATTGATTCCAACCGTAAACCTAACACTGTTAAGTCCACCAAGGAAGAAATGCAAACTGAGATAAAATCAATTGCAAAAATTGATTTATCGTTGCAACTGTAACTTGCTTTTCTTGCCTAGGTCCACTCTGTAGTGTATGTGTCAACCGCTTTGGCTGTCGCCCTGTCATGCTGGTGGGTGGCCTTTTTGCCTCAATGGGGATGGTGATTGCCTCCTTCTGCACAAGTATTGTTCAAATCTATCTAACTGCAGGTGTGATTACTGGTAAGTAGTGTGCATGGTTGAAAATAGGTTAACTGATGTCCTGGCTTCAGTCTGAGATTTTGTGTGACAGCTATCTAAATCATCAGTATCATCCAAATCAGCTTTTCTGAAGATGGCAGATAAATGTGGAATAAATGTCATTTTTAAAAAATGAATATTAATTTTTCTGGTATGTTTAATATCCAGTACTGTAATCAGTGAAGTGTAGAAGATATAGAAGTGTTCATCAAGTACAAGAATATCAGGAAGTAGAATGCTTCTTAAAATATTCTCTTAGAATCCTTTTGTCCATTTGAAGTAAAACTTTTAAGTCAGGAATCAGAAAAACTGCAATTACAATTTGTTAAGTACTGATATTGTAGGCCAGTATTATTTTTTACGTACCCTCTGTTACAGGTTTGGGACTGGCACTAAACTTTCAGCCTTCACTCATCATGTTAAACCGTTACTTTGACAAACGCCGTCCCTTAGCCAATGGGCTATCTGCTGCGGGGAGTCCAGTGTTTCTTTGTGCTCTCTCACCACTGGGGCAGATACTACAACACGAATATGGTTGGAGAGGAGGATTCCTTATACTGGGTGGGATGCTGCTCAACTGCTGCGTATGTGGCGCATTAATGAGACCTTTGGAGCCACCAAAAAAGCCTGAAGCTACCAAAGACCCAGCTGAGAAGAAAGCAAAGAAAAAACTTCTGGATTTCAGCGTTTTTAAAGATGGTGGTTTTGTAATCTACACGCTAGCAGCCTCTATCATGGTGCTTGGCCTCTTTGTTCCCCCAGTTTTCGTTGTGAGTTATGCCAAGGATTTAGGATATCAAGACACCAAAGCAGCTTTTCTTCTAACTATTCTGGGATTCATTGATATCTTTGCTCGGCCTATTTGTGGAATGGTAGCTGGTCTTAAATGGGTTAGACCACGCTGTGTCTACCTCTTCAGTTTTGCTATGATTTTCAATGGCTTTACAGATCTCATGGGTTCTATGTCTGTTGATTATGGTGGCCTGGTGGTGTTTTGTATTTTCTTTGGCATTTCTTATGGAATGGTAGGTGCTCTTCAGTTTGAAGTTCTCATGGCTATTGTGGGTACCCAGAAGTTTTCCAGTGCTATTGGCTTAGTGCTCCTGGCAGAAGCTATGGCTGTTCTAATTGGTCCACCATCAGCAGGTAAGTATTCCATTTAGTTCAGAATTCAAAATAATTTGCATTGTATCCATTTACATAAATTGTATTATAAGGGAGCAGAGAAAAAGACGATATGAGTCGCTCAACAAGTGCATATTGTGCTAGTGCTGCATATGCTTCAATGACTTTCCGCAGTTACAACCTATTTCAATCCAAGACAAGCTGGGATGAAATCTTTTCCTTCTGTTTCAGGATTGGTTGAATTGCCATCTGGAGATGCTGCTCATTCTCCACTGAAAGCCTACACTGGACCTCTTACTAGTAGATAGCTAATATTGTATGAGTTTTACACACACACTGATTAACTTTTGTGAAGTTCAGATCTCTTTGGAGTTGGGGATTCAGAATAAGAAACCTGTCAATTGTCTTTGGAAAGCACTAATATAAATTTTCTATATCCATGGTTGATTTGGAGGAGGAAAGAAAATGTAAGGAGAGGAATCCCCCCTCCCCCCCCTCCCCCCAAAAATCCAACCTAAATAAACCCAACAAAAAAAACAACAACCCTTACATAGAAAACTATACAATGGGACTGTTTTAAGGAAGGTAGACTGCTTCTGTTTCATGTCCCACACCCCAAGAATAAGGGGACATTTCAAGAGACTCAAATTCATTAATTTAAGCTCAAAATTGCAAATTAATTACTAATCAAAGAACAGAATTTTTACAGACCCTGAACTGAAAAAAAAACCAAATGAAAAACCAAACCCACCCAAACCCCACCAGTTTACTGTCAAAATGTTTACTCTTTATGCCAGACACTAAAAAGTATTGGGTATCTTTATTGTGACAAAACCCCTAATGGAGGAGAACAGTACTACACATTACGTTCTCTGATCTTCAGGTTTGGAGATGCACATCCTTTGTATCTTCCCTCCTGTTCTTTCAAATCCACTTTCGTAAGTCCTATGAAAGTTAAACATGCCTAAAGCATGAGAACCAGTAATTTACTCCAGACTGACTATTAAATGAGATTTATATTTTAAGCAGACAGTACACTGCCTGTGTACGAAGGGAAATGAGATTGGAAGCAAGAGAAAGCTGCTGATACGGACTGCAGCCATGGAAGCACATGCTTTGATCTGGAATACATGGCACTTCTCATTTCTTGCATATGAAGGCCAGGCTTGTTTTATTCCAGTTGAATTGCATGACTCTGTGTGTGCAGGGGATTGTATTTTGGGATGTGACAATATCAGTGAATGTTAAACTGATAATTGAGAAACATTTTGTTATAAACTTGTTAAAATGCTACTTCAAAAAACTTGCTTAGATAGCAAGTTTAGATGACTGCTACTGCTTAATCAAAGACATCATGGTACTTCTAGACAGTCATTTAAACGTTTAAAAAAGTAGAAAAAATATTTGTTGCAGGATGATCACTTTTGTTAATTACCTGGAATGTTGTTTTTATTTTTTTTCAGGAAAACTCCTGGATGCAACAGGGAGGTACATGTTTGTTTTTATTATTGCTGGAATTGAAGTTACCACCTCAGCACTTGTATTGGCCTTGGGAAATTTCTTCTGCATTAAGAAAAAATCAGAAGAACCACACACAAAAGAAGAAGCAGCAGAAAGAGAGGAGTTAAACAAATCTGAAGACAAAACTCCTGAAGATGCCAGCAAGGTGGACTCTATTGAAGTGGAACAGTTTCTGAAAGATGAGCCTGAAAAAAACGGTGAAGTTGTAACTAACCCAGAAACATGTGTGTAAGCATGACAGGAAACCAACAAAGCTTCTAGAAACAAAAGATTTTCAACACTATTTATTTTAGAAATAGAACTAGTTTAGGGCTGGGCCATCTTCTTTATTAACTGGAAACTGGTCAGCTCCTCAGGGCTCTGGAAGCTGATTAGCTAGAAAACCTTTTATTGGAAGATTGGCTTGATCAGTAAAAGGTAGAACATTGTGGTTATACTTTTTATGCAAACTAAAAAGCTTTTATAAACACAGGTATAGTCTTGCTATGCATCACCAGAAACTGCTCAGTCGGTAGAGATACAGAAAGAATATCTTTTAAGAAAAGTGGAATTACATGTACATTTTCAGACAATATTAGTGAATTTGTTGTGTTGTGCAGCTAAATGTAATTTCCCTTTCTGTGTTCTTTGTGAAGGGGAAAGAGTTTGAGACAAAGAAAAACCTCAGGAACTTAAAAGGTCTTAAGTTTTTGAATTTGTTACATTTTCAGATTTTTAGATTAATTGGCTCAGCCCTAATTTAATTTTGGTAATATGTATTACTTTATGTAAATGTATTTCTAACTTTTGTCTATACCTATAATCTTTGTAATTATCATCTAGAAATACTGTACATAAAGAGGCACATTATAGATACTGTCCTCAGCAGATCACAAGAGTGGTATTCTGAAGTAGTACTGAAAGAAAATAGAATGAGCAAATTGATCCTGACAGTAAGTAAACAAAGGTAGCCTATATTTATATACACTGTTTTCAGTACAGTTTCCCTGCAGCATTGAAAGTATTATATGTAACATGGAGAATACAGGTACTGGGTTTAGTAGAATCTTCCCAAAGAGTGTCCATTTTGCATATAAAAGGAACAGTTTAAGTTTCCAGATGACCAGTAAATTAAGACTGGGTAGACTTGAGGAAGTGACTAGACTGTTTAGAAACTTTAGCCATCTTTAAAGTGCAATGTTAGCAACACAGAAAATCTTCAACATGGTGGCAGTGTCTTTTTGGTAGTCGACCCCAGCCCACTTACCCCACTTCCCTGTCCTTTTGCTGAATCTATGGAAGTTGAAGGGGCTATTCTTGCTGGTTAAGGAAACTTCATAGAACTGTTGATCATATGACATGGCAAAAAGACCAAGAACAGGGTCAGCTCTCATTGTGCAAACAGAATGGGAGTTTCTGGCCAGTCTTTAAATCTTCTCTGACATTGGTATGTGGGAAAAAGAAACAGCTCAGACAAGGTAGTGACAGCATATTTGAAGGAAAGCAGAAAGGTAAGATTCATTGTGACAACACTGAATTCTTAAGGAAGGTAAAAGGAAGGCATTGTATATGCTCTCCCCCCTTTCAAAAATTTAATCTTTTATATAAAACCATGCTACTGCAACCCACCTTTCAGATATGTTTATGAAAAGCTCTCTAGGCTTTGTGACTGCAGTAATAATCTTCGAAACAGGCTAACTGTTAACAGTCAGTTTTCTTGTTGGTAGCAAAGGAATATTGGCTTTCAGGTGCCAAAATTGTTCAACTTACTAACTGAAACCCAGAAGCCCCTAATCCCTTAAAAGCCTGTATCCCTTTTAAAATGAACATTATTAGTTGTTTCATAGTTTACCATTTTAACAGAAACATACAGTAAATCCAACAAAGTGCCAAAACCATGAAGCATTCCCTAATGGAACTATCTCAGATTCCAGCTTCCATTCTGGCAGTTGCTTTAAAATGGTTTTGCATTGTTAGGACAACATTGTACAGAAATTGAAAAGTTAGGATTATGATGTGGTTTTTTTTTTTCTGTGTGTGTGATTTTAAAAAGAAATGTATGCTGCACTTAATAAACTGTTTATTTTTATATAACATATAACACATTACTTTAAAACCCTTTATTAATTTAGTGGCAGGAACTACTCTGCCATGTCCTAGTTATAAGAACATGGTTACTGAACTTAGCTCCAGTTTGCTAAAGACTAAATCAGTACTTAGAACATAACACTGCTAGCTCCAGAAGGCCACCATACAAAAGGGCAAGAGGAAAATGGAATCCACAGATCAGTTTATGATATCCCTGGAAGCTACTTCCAATGATAATGTGAAGGCCCTGTTCTGTTTCAAAAAGCAAGAAGTAGAAACCTCCCAAAAAGTGAATTTAGATTTTCAAATAGCCATTTTTGTCTTACTGTGGTTTTTGGTCACTGGATTTCTTTGCTGGATAATGCTATCCTGTTATCACAGAACTAAATGGTTGTCTTTTTGTTATTGGTTTTTAGCACAATTTTAAGTTTCTGTACAGTCTGCAAATTGGCTAGATTGTAATATCTCAAAAATCTATGCTTAACATACTGACTTTTCAGACTATGTTTCATTTTCCATACATAATACCTTTACAGTGAAGCTGAAAACAAGAAGTGTTATGTTATGTGGTTGGGGCAGAAGACGAAGTTACTGAGACAAGTGAAACACATTTCAACAAGATGCCATAAATAATTTCTGAAGTAAATCTAGTGTTCACAGAAAGTGCCTCATTGGCTTCTGCAACTTCTTTTCATCAACTCAAACATGAACTATTCAGAGTAGTACTGCCAGTGCTCTTGTGCTGTTCACAGCACAGACCTACCAGCGGATTGCAGTATTTGTGGGAGCAGGAGATGCTTACTGCATGAAAGACAGTCAAACCAGAGGATTCTTTCATCGACTGTGAGAAATAAGGGTGAGTTTAATTTGCTAGGCAGTTTCACAGAGGCTACAAAATCTTTTACTGTTTTCAGTATTTACAAGAAGCATCAACAGAAAGATAAGAAACTCCTAATGCAGATCTCTTAGTACTTCTGAGTTCTGAAGCCAGTTAAGCTCCCTGCTCCCATTCTGTCCCATTCATGTGTTACATCCAGGTGCGTGCTAGCTCTCTTTCTGTTCAGCTGCCTTTATTTTCTTGGGAGGATTTTGATGATACTGATGGAAAGGTAAACTCCATGCCAGATCACTAGCCTGGATAACCGTGGGCCAGCATGCCCAGCTGTGCTGAGGCATGTACCCTACTGTTCCTATGGACATGGCCACATTGAGTTCCTGTATCACAAACCTCACTCCTTCATACCAAAAAAAGGCAAGCAGTGAGTCTTCAGGTTCCCAGTGCTGTCTTGGAACACCATTTAGGACCTGTTACATAGAGAAGAGGATTGTGCTGCAACCCTTTCTTTTGGCAAGACCAGCCTGGCTCCTTAAGAATTTAATTGTGCTTATTGTAAATTCACAGGTAATTGCTTTTAAACCCGACTAGATATTTTGGTACAGTGTTTCTTTAATCTCAACACCACTGACATCCCCTTAAAAGCAGTTTGAGAGATGTGCTCTTCCACGTATTTTGCTGACATGCACGGTCTGAGTCATAAAGCATTGCTAAAGAGACACTAACTGCCTGGGGACACAAGCAGAATGGTTTAATGCAACATCTGCCTGGATGAAGTTTTGCTAACCTTATGGTTAAAATTTTGTGATTTGGAAAAAAAAAAAAGAGAGGGAAGGCAGGTAATTGTACAACCACTACTGGAACAAACCTAAGTCTTGAGGGAAGCAACTGAAAAATACAAGTGCAAAAATTCCAAGTATAATACAATAAAACAGTTGAAAAATAATTTTTAGATTATTTCTCTGAAACTAATGAGCAGCCTTTTAGTCTAAAGGCTAAGCATAATTTTAAAAGCTTTTTAGATTTTCATGCATTCTATAAATTGTGTACTATGGGATTTATGGTTAAAAAATGTTGTTTGATCTTGTGATAGATCTTAGGCCCTTAGTTTCCTAGCACAAGGAGAAGGTATGTATACAACTGCCTGTAACACACAGAGAACATATAAAGAGGTGTATATGTGCGTGCACACATATATATACGTATCTGTATCTATCAAACATGCAAAATATCCAGTAGAGTAGAACAGAGACAGTTTGCCTGTTTACTAGACAATGAGCAAGGCAAAGTTAAAATTTCTTCTTCCTCCTATACAAAAATAAGCTTGCTGTTTAAAAATTTCTATATGAAACATCCTGTAGCTATTTGGAACCTGGAAGATCTCAGCAGAACTAAAAGTGATTGCGCTCCCTTTAAAATCACAATCTCTAGATTTTGTTTTTCTCCAGTCCTTTAATACATTACAGCAAGTCTTCAACAGTTACCTGCTGCAAAAGCAGCCAGTTCCCTCAAGCTGAGACTTGAGATGCTATGAAGGTATGGTATGAAGGACTGGACAGATCTTGTGCTTGCTAATATTAAATCCCATCCAAATGTGTGTTAGACAATGTAAAATCATTCTCTGAAAATAAATGAAAACATTCCCCTAACAATACAATCAAATTCCAAAATATATACATGTATGCACCTCTATTATGTCCCAAAGAAAAGTGTTGATTCTGTCAGCAATCATAGAATCATAGAATAGTTAGGGTTAAGATCATCTAGTTCCAACCCCACTGCCACAGGCAGGGACACCTCACACTAAACCATGCCACCCAAGGCTCTGTCCAACCTGGCCTTGAACACTGCCAGGGATGGAACATTCACAACTTCCTTGGGCAACCCATTCCAGTGCCTCACCACCCTTACAGTAAAGGACTTCTTCCATATATCCAATCTAAACTTTCCCTGTTTAAGTCTGCACCTGCTACCCCTTGTCCTGTCACTACAGTCCCTAATTAAAACATAAGGCTTTCAGGGGAATGCAAACTCTTACAAGTTACAACAGTAAGTACCGACTTGTGCATGTGTGTCTGTCTCTCTACCACAGTTGTCTTTAGGATTAAGAGTACAATTAAGTTTGTCAAGTGAGATGAACTTTTGTTTCTTGTTAATGCTCTTCAGTGTAATGTGTATATTTGTACTTAATTTTTTTTAAATGCTTTTCTAGTAAACTGTTGCAAATACAGTGAATAAATATTTTTTTGATTGTAAAAAACTGTGGGTGTGAGAAAATAAGCTTAGAAAAAGTAACACCCAGATTTGGAAATTTGGCTTCCTCCACACATGCTCAAACAGCTAGCTATACAGAGCTCATAGAGAAAAAATAAAGTGGTGACACTGAGCTGACAAGCAGCCAGAATTTAATGTGAGCAAGGGGACTGCTTTTGCTGTGACTCATAGTTTGGCCAATTCCAAAATGGAAATGGGCTCCTCCTGTAAATGATCCTGAAGACTGTTTTAAAGGATCATCAAATTTTAAAATAATAACTATTAATGTTGCAGTGCTCCATGTAGAAATTATTGTTCTTGTCCTCTGAAAAGCACTCCAGATTTTGTTTTGCAGGTAAAGTGTTATGAACTGCAATGACTTATAAATCCCTGAATATTCTGAGTATTGACCTGCCAGCAAGCTGTCTTTATCATCAAGTGATGCTCTTTAGAACTTGAAAGCTCCTAAGGAAACACTTTAATAATACATTAATGGTGGTGTATTTTGGGTCCTATGGTACCCCAGCTAAGACTGAGCTACATCCAAGTGAATCAAAATTACAATCTTTTCAATTGAACAGGAGCTACATTTTGCTGTCTAGAAGCTATCTAGATGGCTCACACCTATTTGTGCCTAATTCTAAGTAGCTCTGCTGAGAAATTCTGAAGAAATCTCTCTAAGGTTATTTCAGAAGTTTCTCTGTGCATTTACATGGGAAAGATCATAGATCTATTTACATAAAATCCAACATTTGAATAAACATGATTAATTTTATTATGCAAACTGGCAAAACTCAAGGTGTAATCAGATTCTTTGCTATCCCACTGGCCAGATCAAGCCATATGCTGCTATAGGAATGACTGTTAAGGGCGGACTGAAATGACAGAATTTATTAGCATGCAGTTAGCATCCTTGTGACAGAAAACCCAAAGACTTTATCTTTGCCTCTGGTACTGTTTGAGTCTGAAATATAGGAGTCAGGCCATCTGGGTTTGGAGGAAAATGAGCATGACCCAGTTGCACAGCTCTTCGCTACTGCTGGACTTGCTGAAGGAAGGTTACGCACCACTATTTGAGAAGCAAACAATTCTAACAATAGCAGAGGCACTGCATATAAGAAGTAACAGCTTTGGAATATATTATTTCACCAGCCTTCTCAATGCTGCTGCAATAGAGCCCATCTTTGTTACAGCAGGAAAAAGGGAGTATTTACTGTAAAAGTCAGGGCTCTTGAAAGTATCTTGCAAGTGAGTCTCTGAGATCAGCTGCCCTGCATTTGTCCAAGAAAGTACGGAAAGTTAAAGGCAGACAGAGTAAAAAGCTACTTACCTCTAGTTATATGCTGTTTGTTCCTTGACTGATCTCAGTACCTGCCCCATCATCTGCAACATTCCAGCTGCCAACTTTTCTCACTATCCCTAGATGAATGCTTCAGAACAGTAAGATGAGGGTAGTAGCTCTTGCTCTTCTGACTCTTAATCTACTACTGCTTCAGCAATTTAAGGCTTTTCAGTGGGAAACTGAATCCAATGAAGATCTAGATTTTAGAATTTAAAATTCTTAATAGCAAAAGACTTTTCAGTCTTGCTGGAAAATATTGTATAAGAGTCGGGGGCTGACAGTAGATAAAATACAAATTGTTAGCAGTGAGTGCAAAGAAGCACTTGCTGTTTGGGGTCTTTCTTTTAAGAAAAAATCTGTACATGGCCTTGAAATACTGTGAATCACTGGTTTATCCTTTCCTTAAGGATAATGGGAAATGCCAGCAGCTCTGCATTGCCTTTGTGCCTGTAAGGCTTGCAGCTTTGAAACAACTGTAATTAAACCAAATGTTTTGTCTGGTTGTGATCAGGACTAGACATTTTCTTCCTAATGCATAATGTACCAAATGAATTGCTGTTTTGTTCCATATCTCACCCCATCTCAATTATCCTGGATTGGTCACAGCAATGACACAGTAAGCTAGGATGATATACATACTTTTTCCTTTTCCCACTCTCCTTTGTCCTTTACGCTTATAATTTTCAGACAGATCTTACACATGCACCTAAAGTCAAGAATTTCCCCAAAAAGAAGTTAATAAAGAATGCTCTTAAATTATTTTTTGTAGACTGCATATTTTTTGTAGATTCTGTAAATACAGATCTCACCTAATTTTCTGTTGTCTTTCTGCTTGCAGTATGCAATGGTTTCATCAAAAGAACCAATTTTAAGATACAGCAGGAAAAAAAAAAGCCAACACTAATGTCTGAGAAAAAGTCATAAAGTGTTACTCCTGTGCAAATATGTCCTGATAAAAGTTAGTAAGATTTTGCTGTGAAACAGATTCTTACTGAAGATCAGGCTTTTGAGCACTCTGCTGGTACAAAACTACTGAACAATGCAAATAGTCCATACAATTCAGGTTCATACAATCACTTAAATGTAGACATACACATGTAACGCTAGTAATTGTCACCTGAATGAACCAGAGGGAAGTGTACTGTTAACAGCAAGACCTTTTTTTTATTATTAACTTTTCTCACCCAGTGAGTTTTAGAAGCTACTTTAAGTACACAGTGTATTACATTTCCTCCCAATTGGATTAAATCCAGATGTCTAACCAGATGGCTCAGCACTATTAGAAAACCCTTGAACAGCAGTGTTGTTTGTTTTCACTTAGTGTTTTACACATATGAACTGCTGCACTTGTAAAGAAAAAGGTAAAGAACAAAATAATTACCTTCTATTTCATTCTTTTGCAAAGAAAAAGATATTCTTGAAATGAACATGTATGCGTTAGCTGATGATCTACTTAAATCTGTAAATACATCATAAAGATTATTGTTGGGAAATTCAGTTTCCTAAAGTGTTGCCTTTGACAGATTTTATGGAGGAGCTGTCACTCAAGAAGTCTGGAACATGGGGAAAAGAAGACAACAAATAGTTGTGACTATGCTATTTTTCCCCACTGAAGAAGGAAGAATAAGATGCCTCTGAGTCACACATGCCTTCCTCCAAGGGAGATTCCGAGTCTTTTCATGAAGTTAACATGGCATATACGGACTCCTTAAATGCTTTTACTTAGTATCTCTCTCATCATAGGATTTATTTTCATTTGTTTTCAAGGTACTTGTATCACAAAGAGCTCAGGGACTCTGTAACCATCAAGATTATGTAAAACAGCAGCACGGGAAGAGTTTTCCACATAAAAGCACACAGCCAGTTCTAAATGAAAACTGTGAGAATAAATTAAATATCCTTCCAACTTCTAAAGGCGTGCTAATCAAATACAGAGAATTCCTGAAGGTATATTTTCCCTCAGATTATGAATAGACTTTTGAGAATTACATGGCAAAAGCTAGGACTTTTATTATAGAGGGCACTGTGGGTAGAGCTCACTGTTTTTCTTGGTTTTATCCTAGCTCCTGTAATTGATCAAGTCTCGACAGCAACTCTCGTCCGGTATATCCTGGGCTTAAACCACGAGACCATACTTCCTATCAATACAGTGTACTACTTTGACAGAGAAGTGTTTGTGAAAAAGACTTCTGGAAAGGAAGCAATATCCAAACAAAAACATTTACCTTTAAAGAGACAAAAGACATCCTTTCTGTGAGCAAAGCAATGAATGCCTTCTCTTTCTTCCTGTATACCCTAACTGCTGTTTTCTGACCACGACTACCAAAATCCTTCGGAGAAAGGTTTAGTACCACAACTATGTCTTCAAAAGTTTGCAACCGACAGTAGCTACAGAAACCCCTTAAAAAAAAAGAAAAAAAAGAAAGAAGTTACACCAAGTAAAGAGTAAGGATTCATTGTAAGTAAGTTACACACAAGAAGAACAGAAGTTGTTACGAATGTATTTACACAATTGTTAAAGTACACAAATACAGTGGTAGTACAAATGAAGTATTCCCAGATACTGGTTTCCAATACACAGGTTTATATAGACAGTCTAACTATTTTCTGCATGATGAAATTTAACTATTACGAAGGACAAAAATTGCCCACAAGTGAGTACAGCTCTAGAAGTCTGCAGTCAACTTTTAATTATAGTACAGCAATCTAATGTTCTAGATACAGAGAGAATAAAGAGGCTGCCTTTTTAAGTCCCTCTAATGGTACATTATAGACCACAGATATTTACAAAGAAAGCACAGTGAAGTGTAAAACTGTCCAAATGGTAAAGCACATGCCTAGAATATTGAAGTTTATAATAACTGAGGAAATACCTTACGCAAACATCCATGGATCAAACTTTTAAGCTTTTCCATTATACTCTCCCCAAACAGGTTTCCTGAGTCACACCCAGAATACACACAAGTGAGTAGCTGATGTTACTAATACTTAACATGGACTTTTGAGAGGGGCAGAAAAGAATTTGTAAACACCAAAACAATAAAAACTACTCATCATAAAATTTGAAGACCAACAGGCC